TGTTTGCAAATTAATCATTTATATAATGCGGTGTTGTACATAGAACAGGGATGTAACCTAAACTACTGGAAAGATTCAAACCATATTACAATTAGTACATATCAAATAAATATTTACAGATTTATTGTCAAAACCATGTGAAACTAATTGTTATAATGTTTGGACATTCCAAATTAGTGATGCAGTAGAAACCATTACGACTTATGCTGTAACTATCTAAAGCATATATCGTAACTAGTTATGCATAAGCCATAATTGTTTCTACTGCATTTTTATTTCAAATAGTTTAGGTTACATTCCTAGTTGGAACAAGGATGGTACAAAATCAAAAAAAAATCTATAACCTTTGTTGAAGCGAAGTTGTATAAAAATCGGGAACAAAAAAATTGATGTATTTTGAAGTAAATGCATCACTTATTTTATCTGAAATCGGATACAAAATCATTAATTATGAATCACCCTAATAGATTAAAATTTTAAGATAACCTCTTTTTAGCTATTAAATAGAAACATTTAAAATACATTAACTTTTCTATAAACGGTTCAAAGACATCACAAACTCTCGTAGACTGTTTATTTCATAGGCAGCTCATTTCGTAGATATATCTTACTATCCTTAACCCTAAATTCTAACTCTAATCCTAGAGTCTGAAAAATGAATTTCTATGAAATAAGCTGTCTACAAAATGATCTTAACTGTAAATTGATTGTCGTAAAGTAAACTTGTAAACAAATTGATTGTCTATAAAATAAGATGGCTGTCTGTGAAGTGAGCAGTACCGCCTATAAACAGTATACTATGTAGCTGTTTCTGGTATAAAAACTTCAAATTCTTAATGTGGATAATTTATCAAATTTTATTTTACAGTAATAAAAAGTGATAAAACAATGAGGGATTATACAATAAAAAAAAAAAAAAAATACATCTATAAAATAAAAAAGAAGCATAATTTAATAAAATTTTTATTATTCTACTCTACTGCAAAGTTGCTATTTACGAAATTGTTGCACAGTACATACAATTTCTAGTTAGAAGATTTATTATTCGGGTTCATTTTTTCGATAAGCTAAATCAATTTATTAATTTATTAATTTTATCTAATAGATCTTTTAATGTATAATTTACGTGCTTCATTTATTTTACTTGTCAATGCATCTTCTATTTGATTTTTTGGCGCCTCATTTATTTTATTGCTAATGTTTTATTTATTTCATTTTTCAATACTTTATTTATTTGACTTTTAAATGGTTCATTTTCAAATACTTCACTTATTCGATTTTTAAATGATTCATTTTATAATTCTTCACTTATTGTTTTTTTTTTTAGCTTTTTCTCTGAATCTTAATTCTAGTGAGTTCCAAAAGTTAGAAGGCAAGCTTTCCTTATCTTCAACACTTCAACACATTTTTTAAGCTCGTTAATTGAAGCTTTGTAATATCTAAAAAGTCATATTGTATATTAATATATAGATGTATGGGGCATACTAATTACAAAATTTCTGAAAACCAATTGTTCTTTCTTCTTGATGAGGCAACATTCAATTTCAGTTAATATCTAATAATAAAATACGCATAGTAATTTATTTTATGCTGTTTACGAATAATTATTAAATAAAAAAATTTTTTTACCTCTTCTCTTAATTGCATAAAAAGATTCTTTATTATCTCTATTATCAATAACGTTTCTAAGTAATTAAATAAATAAATTTAATAAATAAATAGTTGTAAAAAATGAAAATATGACTAATAAAAATGTTAATGTCCAGTTATTTTTTAAGCTCCATGAAAGAAACATAACTTAAATCGCCTAAAAATAAAAAATATGGTTACTTTTTTTGAAACTTTTTAGTACTTCTAATAATTAATTAATAGATTTTTTTTTTACTAAAATTTACTTCTTCAATATTAGAATAGTGGCAAAGATTTGAGGTTAGGATAAAGCATAGTTTATAGAAAGAAAATTTTTTGATGAGAATTTCTAAAGGTGGTTTTATGGTCAAATTTTGGGATAGAGGAGATGTGCTAAATACGTAGGGTATCATTTAATAATGTACTAATATTTTTTATTAAATATTGCTTAGTAAATATTGCATAACATAACGCTTGTTGGCATTCAACAATGCTATTAGATGAAATAAACTGATATGTCGGTAAAGATTCCAAGGATTATTGGCATAACCAGTAAACTTGGCTGATCATAAGAATATTTGCTAAGGTTCTAATTATAATAGAGAATTATTATTTCTATAATAATAATCAAGGTCAATATTAGTCTTAGATAAAAATCTTTCTGTAAATCCTCTATTTTTATTATATTCTTCTAACTTTATTAATATAAAAGCGATTTGACATGTGATTAATATGAAGTTGCAAATATCACCACTCTCAAACATTGACAAGCTATGATTATTACTAGTGATGTGCCACGTACTGTACTATACGTACTGTACTGTACGTACGTACTGTACGCTAAAAAAATCCGAGTATCCTATAAATGGCACATCACTAATTATAACACCATCAAGTAATTTATCGATTTTTTCCGCCTTATACTCGAAAACTGATGATTTATCTGATTTTTCTTAAATTAATTTATAGCATATATCTTGTCCATATAGTTTTAATAATGTTGAGTTTTTGAGCGATAAATATTGACTATAACTCCCTGAAGCTTCAGAAAATATCTCACTGAATCTTCAGTATATAAAATCATGTAAAGAGTTGGTACTGGTAAGTTTTCAAAACCAAAATCGTAAAATTCCAAGATTCTTTTAAATAAAGCAAGAAAACTAATTATGAAATCTTTAAATTTTTTTTGCTTTTCTATATTCGATTCTTTTGCTTCATCAATAAATTAATCCTTCAAAATTTTCATCAGGATTTTTTTTTTATTGTATAGATTAGTATTTCTGAAAGGAAAACCAACAACATATGGGGGTGAGTCAATAGAAAAGGGACAAATCATTTTTAGTAATTTTTTTTTAAAATTTTAAATTAAAATATCTCAACAACTATTTAATCAAAATTGTTAAAAATTTTTTTATTTTAATCTTGAAATTATATAGAATTAAAATAAAAAAAAATTTATTAAATTTAATAAGATAATTGCTAAGATGTTTAAGCTTAAAGTCAAGAAAACTTTTACTTAGAAAAAATTTGTCCCTTTTCTATTGACTCCCCCCCATATCTCCATTTTCAAACACGTTTTTTTCGAAAATATTACAACATAAAATAATTAATCGTATACTAGACTCAGCTTTGACTTTTAATTGTATACACCATATTTCAGAATTATTTTTTTCATATATAATAATCCATGTACATGGCTCTTTATGACATTTTTCTGACATATTTAATGCCACATTTAAGTAATTTCTCAGTTAAATCTTGACCTGGCTCATACCTATTCAAAATATTCTGTATAAATAGCTTAATTTCTTTTATATTGAAAAATATGTACATATATATGCGTTGCTGTAACAATGCTTCTCACGTTTTAAATAATTTTTCCAAATTTTATTTTGAGACAACCTTTGAATTGACAAATAGTTATTATCATCAGTTTTTATTATGTGAGAGTCGCCAAGCAAAAACCAGGAATTGAGAGTTTTCTGAAATTAATTTTACAGATCAAAAACCCCAAAAAATGTAATTTAACACACTATATAATATATGTTGTGCTTAATTTAAATTTGTGCCTGAAGACACTCATAATCAAATATAATGTCATATAGGACATGATTGTCATGAGACTTATTGAGAGAATGTGTGTATAGATTCAATATATAAGGATTATTGCAAAAGAAAAACATATGTTCTTCTTCTGATTAAATAAGACCATCAAAATTTTCTAATACTAACAGTTAAACTAAATCAAATGAAAGCATTTAGAGTCAAAAGTATATTAGATGATCTGCCTACACATTCACATTTCTATAACATAATGCCTAGAATATATCAAGCCTCGACTTGCTTTCTATATAGTACTTCTGACTCACCAACACACTAGCTTATATGCCCTAGCCCCCAAGCACTTATTGGTATTATGCACATCACTATTGCAGAAACAGTACACAAAGACCTTGTAAATTTAATTTCAACACAACAGAAAGCAATTATAAACCTTATTAAATCCCACACCTCATTCAACCTCTCCTCTCCATCAATCACACAGAAGTATTCACTACTAATAACTCTAAAAGACTTTATCTCTGTTAATCTTATACAAGCTATGCTAATAGATGACTTACAATACAAGGAAGCAGCCAATATCCTTGTTTCAATACTACTAAATATTTCCAATAAAATCTACAAGCAAGTCTAGAAACCATACTGTGAAAAATTTGCAAATTGGAAGAAACTAAATAAAATCACAGCACATAACCAAACTACACTAGTATATATACAGTCTCAGCAAAGAACCCGACAACAACATAGAGAGTTTATATATAACTGCTTGTGGACTACCAGACCAACTCCATACAGACGACAATAACAATAAATGTCCACCAAAAGGACAGGCACAATTTAAATTTAATCAATAGTTCACAGCATGTATTCAATATAGTTTACTTACAAATTATATACTAACAATAAAATCTAGATGAGTCTTGACCACTCTAGTAAGTTTAGGTCGCAGATAATTAGTCTGAGCTCCCATTCTTGCATGTAATTTATATTATTTGTTTGTACAAATTGGGTCTTTATTACAATTACCCAAATAAATCACTAAATAAAGATATGAGCAAGGCCTCATCTTAAAAAAAAAAAAAAAAAAAAAAAAAAAAAAAAAAAAAAAAGTGAAAAAAAAAAAAAAAAAAAAAAAAAAAAAAAAAAAAAAAAAAATAAAGTAAAAAAAAAAAATCAAAAAAAAATAAAATAAAATAAAATAAATAAAAATCAAGAATAGACAACGCGCATGTTAACAGTGCCAAACCTTTGACATTGCTTTAATCATGCAAGCAACTTCACTCCCCAATCACCCATCGATCCTCGCCCAAATGTACCCTAGACAACAAATAGACAACAATTTTCTCAGTATACCTTCAATCATAACTTCCCCCTCCATCCCAACCTCGACTTCCGAGTCTTTTCCTTTCAACTACCAGCAAGAGCCTCTAACCAGTCCTATTTCTCAAGCAATTTCTGCCCCCGTAACTCCTACAAACAGTGTTACACCAGGTTTCCCTTCGCATCCCCCTAGAAGAAAAGGTAATCAAAACAGCAACAACAATAACTCCAATGATGGAAAAGCTAATGGCTCAAAGAGTAAGTACTTCTCGATTGATCAAATCGTTATATGGATGATTATGAAGGAAATGTTAGTTATGGTGACTAGCGAAAATTAGCATTTTTTATATTGATTAAATCTACCGTAAAAGGATACTTCATGTTGTCACGTCAGCTATATCATAACCATGTTGTGAAAATATGCCTTCATTATACTATTATTACGTATAATTCGACACGCTTTATCTGATTTGAAAATTTTGAGCCAAGAATTTTTTGATCACAAGAACAGCCATCATCATCCATATCTCATCATTATTTAGCATTACTTGTGCGATTACCTCTAAATTAGACTTTTGTTGTATTACCTATTTTTATCAACTACTAACCTATATAACGTCTGTATTTCTTTTCTTTAATTATATTCTCTTACTTACACCAAATCGATATGACCTATGAAGGTAACAGTAATCTCGCACATATTCCGTGCAAGTTCTTCAAAAGTGGCGCATGTACCGCTGGAAAAAATTGCGTGTTTTCGCATAGTAAAGATCCTTCAGCAGATAACTACGTGTGCAAATATTACTTGAAAGGAAACTGTAAATATGGAAGCAGGTGTGCTCTTTCTCATAATTTACCAAATGGCAATTTAAAAGCCAATGGCAGAAGCAGCAAGAATGGTGGTAATACGAATGGATCGAGAAATGGCATTTCAAACAATATTCCAGAAATTAGATCTCCAATTATGCACCCTCAATATAGTCAGGATGAATTTCAACCTTTAAATTCTCCTGGCATTCCTTTCCCTCGCATTCCTATTAGTCCTCCTGAATATCAAAATAATAACAAATTCAGTCAATTGACCGCTTCTCTGAATTTGAACGATCAACATCCTTTTTCTGACGAAATTCATCCTACGCATAGATTACGCAATAATTACAGCAATGATCATTTATCCGCTCCTATGAACATCAATGGTCAACAACGAAGGTCTTTACCAGATATCTTTCATCTGACTCCGGTTAATGCTGCTGAATCTTTTGGAACTTCTCCGTTTCAACCAGCTGGATCAAAATCTATTTTTTTACCTGTTTCCTCCTATATTAGCGATAGTGGTTTACTTTCTCCAACCATTAACCC